TTTCTTCTTCTTTTTTTAAAGTTATATTTTATGGATGAGTGCTTTGCATTTATACCTGCAGGCCAGAAGTGGGCACCAGATCCCATTATAGACAGTTGTGAGCCACCATATGGTTGCTGGGAATTGAACTCAGGACCTCTGGAAGAGCAGTCAGTTTTCTTAACCACTGAGCCATCTCTCCAGGTCCCGTACAAAAACTCTGTCACCATCACAGCACTTCGCTAGCCATGAACAATGCTATTGCTTTCCACCAAGGCTTGGGGTTTTCATGATGTTCCTCTGCAGCAAAATCTAGCAAGTTGGTGAAGTTGGAAAGCCAGGAAATGCAGCTCTGTTTCTGAACATCTGAGACATGGGGCAAGAAAAGAGCGGACTTCATTCTCCTAGTTCTATAGCAGGGACTGGTAAGCAACAAATGCAGAAACTTGATGGCCCAAAAAAGTTGATCCAAACTTGGCAGATGCAGCTAGGAAACCCAGCTCTACTTCACTGCAGATTACCAATAGGCAAGAGTCCAGCACTGGTCAGTGTAGGGCAACTTTATCAGACTCTGGACCAAGATGGCAGAGGTCTTCCAGTCTCGCCTTATCTCTCCACTCTAGAGACAGAAAACAGACTCCTGAACACACACACACACACACCACACACACAATTGCTCTCACACACCTCACGTAACACTCCTCCTGAATTTTGTGCCAAACTCATTGCTTGATAAAGAGAAAGGGACAAATGACTTGGAGTAAGACCATCTACTTCCTGGTCTAGTTTCACTGTAGGCTAAGAATTAATTCTTAGTTCTACATCTTTTTCAAAGATAAGTTTATTTGTATCTTCTGTATATGAGGGTTTTGCCTGCATGTATGGCCAAAAAAGGACACTGGATCCCCTGGAACTGTAGTTATAGACAGTTTTGAGCTACCATGTGGGTGCTGAGAATTGAATCCAGATCTTCTGCAAAAGCAGCCAGTGCTCTTAACTGCTGAGCCATCTCTCCAGCCACTAATTTTATAGTCTTTAATACCACTAAAATTAGATAATTTTTAAGCTAAATCTGAACAAACCCTAAGACAAGCCAAAGATCAATATGCAATTCATACCCTGACTGCGTGGCTGCATTTTTATGGTGCTGATCAGCGGCTGCCTGGCAGTTACCAGCATTACACTGTGGCAAGAGGGTCAGACCAAGATGAAGCCTATGCCATAGCCCTCCATGAATGATCTTCAATCCTGGCTGGAGAGACACGACCATCAGAGGCCACGGAGACAATAACAGATGACCCAGTGAGTGCTGTAGCGCATCTCAGGTTAAACTGCCGAGAGCAGTGAGTGAAAAGAGGGGTTGTCGAAAATGGGCCCTGTGCTGATGCAAGAGGGTACTTATGACGCTAACGTGGGGAGCAGAAAAGAACAGACAGTTCTAGGCCAGAAAGAGCAGACATGAAAACTGGAAGAAGATGTCCTAGTGATTTGAATAAATGGATGGCCCCAATAGGCTCATCTGTTTGGATGCTTAGTCCCCAGTTCATAGAACTGTTTGGAGGTGTGGCTTTAGTAGAGGAGGTGGGCCACTGGTGACCATGCCGATGTTTAAATAGTCCCATTTCCCAGCATCTCTCTCTGCCTGTTTGTGGACAGGGATGTGGGTTCTTAGCTGCTGCTGATGCTCCGCCTTTGCTCCGCCAACATGGACTCTAACTCTGAAACTGTAGCCTAATAAGGGAGTTCTTTAATGAATTGTCTTGGTCATGGTATCCTGTCACAGCAATTAAACAGCCTGAGGAAGTGGGACTAAGGATCTTTAGTCACATATTACCCTGACCAACTAACTGGGTTTAGAACCTTGGCCTTGCTTTATGCTATCAGATAAAATGATAAAAATCAAAGATGGAGTGCAGATGGTTCATATCTATAGTCTCAGCATCGAGGCAACTAAGGAAAGAGGTTTGATAAGAGTTCAGGCCTAACCTGGTTCTGGCCATGAGTTCTGGCCATGTTGAACTGCAAAATGAGACCCTGTCTCAAAACCTGTCAACAAAAACGATGATAAACTATGCATGGTGATTCATGCCTGTATCTCAACACTCTGGAAGCAGAGGCAGGAGGACTGTATCAAGTTCAAAGTCTGTACGACAGTAGTATAGTTCCAGGACAAGCAGGACTGCACAGTGTGACTCTATCTTTAAAACAAACAAACAAACAGAAAACGAAGAATGAATGAGAATGGAAAGATATACAAAACTCAGAAACAGCAAAACAATAAGAAAATGCTACCGGCATATATACTAGCAAGACTAGGTGGCTGTTTCTACTTGTGGAGCACCACAGTTATTCCTTGGGTGTCTATCCCTGGTGTTTGGTTCTGGGACACATACGCACACTATGAATATAAGCCTGAATGCGCAAGTCCCTTATATAAAAGAGTGTGTATAGTGTTCATATGTAATGTATACATATATCTCTGTACATCTTAAATTACTAGGCTGATTGTAACACAATGCAGACACTATGCAGATAGCTGTTATATCTATCTAATATAATCTGTCTAATAATACCTAATACCTAGGGAATAAATGACCATGAATATAGTCCGTGTATATTATGTACACAGGAAATTTATTTTTGAAACATTTTTGATCCTTAGTTGGTTCAATCTGAGGGTACAGAATCTACAGGCATGGTGAACCAAATCACTGCATATATATCATTGAAATTTAAAGTAACTATAATTAAATGTTAACAACCATAAATGAACAACAGCAAATAATATTAATTCTACTTGCCAGATGGTGCTGATTTAATGACTCTATGAAACAAATTTATTTTTATCAGGAATTAATTAGAAGGTTTCGACATTAATTTTAATATTTATTTTACTTTATGTATATGGGTGTCTTGCCTGCATCTATATATCTATACTGTATGCATGCTGGAGGCCACAAAAGTCAGAAGAGGGAATCAGAACCCCTGGAATAGGAGTTACAGAGGGTTATGAGCTACTATGTGACTGCCTGAAACTGAGCGCTTCCCTGACAGGACAGACAGTTTTCTTAACCTTTAAGCCATCTCTCCAGAACCAAGAAACAGCTTAATGAATTTCTGTTATGTATTTAGCGCTGTGCCTAGTTACAGTAACAGTTATGAATCCGACATACCTGGAAAAATATCTGTGAAATACATTTCCTAGTGTAGATGATGTCACTGAGAACTGTGCCAGTCTTCCTACAGTGTAGGGGCGAGAGTTTGATTCTGGATGTGCGTGTGGAAGGCATGGATTCAGACTATTGCATTCTCTTTGCAACTGCCTGTAACAAATTGCTAAGTTGTAATTTTCGGCATACGTCATCAAAGTCTGTGCTGATATGACTTAGAAAAACCTTTGCATATGTTTTCGCTCAACCGTGGACAAAGGTGTATGTGGAAACAAGTGTGGAAAAGTCAAATCTCTTGGCAGCCTAGAATTAATCGTTCAAACTAGCCCAAGAAATAATATCTTGTGGGAGAAACTCCTCATCGTTTTTCAAGAGAATATAACCCTTTTATTAGATCCAGAAAGTGCCCATACTTTAAAGCCCTGTTTTTCAAAATAGTATACCGAGGTAGAGACTAAGTAACGCACTCAAGGTCACGTAGCCAGCAAATGGTGTCACCTGAAACTACACCATCTGCCTCCAGTAGCATGTCCAGAGCAGTGTCCAGAAACATGTAGTGTTACCTTGATGCTAGGCTATGCCAATCTGACCACAGGTAAGCTGGAGATTGAGCCTAGGGCCTGACTCATGCTGCGCACACACTCTCTTCCACTGCGCCATGTTGCACCCAGCCCCTCGTCTGTACGTTTCTCCTTCAGAAACTCTCAAGGAGTAGATATGTATACATGTATATATAATCATCTATATGAAAGTTCTAGAATTTACCAAGTTCCCGGATGAGAAGCAGAAGAGGTCCTCTAAGGCCTAATGCATGGGCGTACCAGGTCAGAGAGTAGCATCAGGAATTTAGCCACTCTCTGAAGATGAGGAGAGATGGTGAGGGTGGGGTAGCAAGAAGAAGGTGGCACAGAAACCTGCCGGTACCAGAGGCCCTACCGCAGAAACCTCAGCATAGATGAGATGCTTAGGGCCCCGAGGGTGGCTCCTAGAACTGCCCACATTTAACAAAACTCAAAAGCCAGTCCAGAACAAGAGATTACAGGTCTGTGAAGGCAAACCAGCTGCAGCCACTGCCTCTTGGGGTCCACAGTTACACTCACCCGAGGAGACGTAAGAAAGCTTGAAGTTTTACATAAGATCCCTCTTAAACACTGTTGTTTCCATGAGAAAGAACTTAAAGGGAAAGGAAATAGTGAATTGTTAAATGGTGTGCGATTTTCCTATTCTATCCTGCAATTTCCTCGTCTAACTTATACACTGCACACACATTTACCCCGGCCCCCCCCCCCCCGTGTACTTGTTAAAATGTGATATGCTAAGCTTCATGAAATAATGCATTGAAACAAGTGCTGCTTCTTATGCTACGTGTCTGCATTTACTTGGGACATGTTTTCACCTGTTGTAAATGCAGAACGGAAACAAACTGAACCTCTTGTGAAGGCTTCCTTTGCTACTCATCAAATAACAGTTTTGGAAAGATCCTATGATTTTTCGCATTTCCCTTAAGAGTCAATCCCGCGACCTGAAATTAGATGTCCCTCAACTTTTAAATGTGAGACACACTGGAAATCTTTATAAAAAGGAATTCTCCTTTACTGGAGCTATGAAATTCAAGCAAAGAATAATATGAAATGGTATTAATGGGAAGCCATTCCCTTAAAGGAAAGGCAAAATGGAAGCGTCTCGAAAAGGGCTGGATTACCCGGTGTGCTTCAAAGAATTAATGTGTGTTTGTCAGAAGATTATTCCTCGTGGTATTCTCCCTTTGAGGCTGTGGGAGCGTGACATCTGAGAGATGACAGACATTGCTGACAGAAACGCCGTGGCTAACACCTTTGTTCCCCATCCCAGGTGCTGAGGGCCAGCCGCCATCAGCTGGAGAAGGTGAATCTGGCAAATGACATGACGGTTCCTCAAGGCAGACTCACTGCAGGGAAGCTTCAAAGGTACTCATCTAAGTTTTCTCTCTTAACTAATTGAAGCGGGATCACCTGAGCGGTGTGTGCCTCTTTGGCTAGTAGATGGGAAAGTTTGAGAGCTAACAGGAACCTGAGTCCGTGGTCCGACCCCTTCCCATGCCTTTGTTCATCTTGGCGGAGAAAGCCAAAAGAGGCCTTGAATTTGGCAGTCAGGTCATAACATCAGTACTAAGGAATGTCACAAACGGCACATAATAAATAGGACTCTAAAGAGTCACATGACTTAACATGATCTGTTTGTTCAAAAGTGAGTTCTGTCTCACAAGGGTCAAGAAATGCATGGCGGGCCAGCCTCCTCAGTCACCCCAGTGTACTGCAAATGTCAGAAGTGGAGAGACGTCATCCGTCTTGTTCACAGCTTGTCTTCACACTCTCTTGCCTAAGAAGATAAGTGTTAGCACCTAGAATGTCATGGGAATGGGAAGAACTGTGGAGACCTGCCACAGCGACTAGACACCGGTCCCCAAAACACATTCAGGAGTTGAATTCACTCCAAGGCGTTATCCCTCAAGTGTCCAATTCAACCCCAGTTCAAGTGTATGCAGTAGAAACTGCTGAGTTCCCACAGTAGAAAATGTTGAGTTCTTTTGGTCTCTGATTTTTTTTTTCCTCTTCAGCATCCATCAGCTCTTGCTTGGTTTTCCCTCAAAGACTCGCATTGGCTCAGGTTGTCCTGGAAACAGTCCCTTAGCCACCAGAAAGCTCATGAATCTCACACGGGGAAATAAAACAAAGCGAAATCTTCTCTTCTGCTCTGTCTGGATTTCATGTCTGTCTTCGGAGGGTGTTTTATTCAGTCTCTCTGTGCATGACAAGTGAAGAGAGGCATGGTCAGAGAGTCTGGGCACCCAGGGTGACTGCCCTGTCTCAGTATTCCATCCTAGACACTTTCCAGCAGGTCTTCTCGGTCTGGGAGCTGAGAGGGCGGGATATCGCTATGACAGGTCCCTTCGCTAGTCATCTGCACGTGGAATCCATAGAAAGGGGAGATGTTGGAAAGGAGCCTTCCTTATGTCAAAGCTGGCAGCAGCTGGGCGAGGCGGCACATGCCTGCAATCCCGTGATTTGGAAGATGAGGAAGGAGGACCGAGAGTGGAAAGTCAGCCTGGGCTACCCAGCAACACCCGGCCTCTAGCAAAACAAATCCTCCTGCAAATGGGAGGAAAACATTCCCAAGCAGGAAAACAAGGTATACACGTAGGAGAAAGTTCTGGAAATGAAACTGCAGCCTCTCTAGAGTTCTCTACTTCTCCAATCAGTTTGCCAAGCATCTCTTTGTGAACCTCAAGGCCTGTGTGTCAGGTTCTTAGGGACCAAGGTTGGCCTTGAGTATGATGTCCCCGAAAATTAACAACAGAAGATAATGTTCAGAATTACAGAAACTAACGTTGGAAACGTCAGCATTGCCCGCTGCTTCCCAGCTACCTCACAGTATCTTCGGGGGGGTCTATGCTAGGAAATGGCCTCTGTTCTGGAATTCGGTTCTTTTTTCACCTGACCAGTCACTTTTCCTGTCACACTTGCCTCTTTTTCATGAGAAATTTTCCCTTTAGACGTTCCGCCCTTTTCAGTTTTCAGCATACTCTTTTTGTGAGGAAGTAGCCTGCCTTCTGTTTTACTGAACCACCATCTTCTGCTCAGCTTTAACATGCGGGATGCGCATTTCTTAACAACCTGCGGGCTCCCTGGAGAGTTGCTTTCAATCAATCTCCTTTTTCCATATTTGGACAGGAAAATTCAAATTTCCGGCCTGAATGGCTGTCCCTCCCAACCACATCTGCATTCATGTCCCATTGAGCCTCTCGTTCAGCGAGTTTAGTAGAAAGAAACGGTTCCTTTTAGAATGGGTCTGGACAGTTGGCACCATTTTCCTGACTACTGAGACCTCAGAAGGGTCGCCTGTGGCATTTCCTTTGCTTCTCTCTTCATGCTGTTGGTAGGTAATGAACTTAATATTCCTCAGCGTCAAGAGCTACCTGTTGAGAATAGAGAGGTATCTCAGCCTATAAAAGTGGTTGCTTTTGAGACCTAATACCTGAGTATGATCCCCAAAACCATGTAAATGTGAAAAGAAAGAGGGCACTCCGCAAAGTTGTTCACACCAAGTATGTTCATGCCCTAATAGCTATTAAGGTTAAATAAATGTACACACACACACACACACACACATACACACACGCACGCGCACACACACACGCACACGACCCTCTTGGACTAGGGATGTAGCTCAGTGCTAGACCACAATCCGAGCATGAGAGAGGTCCCGGTTCATACTCCAGCATCACTAACTAAACATATCTGCTTCTCTAGTTCTACAAGTTAGCATTTTCTCCAAAATACTGAACCAGGGGACACAGTCAGCAAGCGTCCAGCCCCTGCGGACCTGGGGTGTTAGTTGCCCGGCTTGTCAGGTAGCAGCGCTCTTGACAGGAACAACCTAAGGGAAGGCAGGTTGTCTTGACTCACAGTTTCAGAGTTAGCCTGGTCGGGCACGGTGGCTGCAACAGCTTTGTCCTCTGTAGGGCGAGATCTCACAGAATAACTTGGTCACATCTTGGCAGTTCAGGAAGAGAGTTTGTGTGGAAACCGAGTTAGATGTCACTCACCTTTAAGGCATGTGTCAACTGCTAGACCGTCTTGCAGACAGTGTCAGAAGCTGAGGACCGAGTGTTTAAACACTGGGCCTGTGAAGGTCATTTCACATTTAAAGCATTACAGTTGGATGGCCAGAAGATGGACTTTTTTTAAAAAAAAAAAATTCGTCTATTTTTATTTTATGTATATGAATATTTTGCCTGCATGCCTGGTGCCCACAGAAACCAGGAGAGGGATTGTGTTCCCTGAAAGTGGAGTTGCAGACAATTTTGAGCCACCATGTGTGATCTGAGAATCAAATTCAGGTCCTCTGCAAGAGCGGCACATCCTCTTAAATGCTGAGCCATCTTGGAAAAATTAGAAATTTTTTTCAAATTGCTAGTGTGTGTGTGTGTGTGTGTAAGAGAAAAAAAAGAGAATAATAGGGTGTTTATGGGTGCCATGTGGGTGTGTCAGATAGGTTGTAATGTGAAAGTCACTGAAAGAACCCTGAAAACTGTCTCAGGACACTTGGGGACTTCTCAGCATTCACACAGAAAGTGTTAACATGTGGGAACAGATTATTAACGTCTGCTGAGCACAGTTTCCAGCTAGAAATATGCCTGCCCAAACAGAACTGGCTGATTCTGTCCCTTCTGGGCTCTGATATGGCCCTGCTGGGCAAGGGTTGGTGCACCTAGGTGTGCTAACTTACAAAAAGGGCTTGGTTGTTTTTAAGAAAATTAAGACTGTGTGTAGTTCTGCTGATGGCTGCTTGCTTTTGTTTTGAGATGGGGTCTCCCATAGTGCAGGCTGGCATCAAACTCACTGTGTAGCCAATGATACCTTACATTTCTGATCCTTCTGCATACACCTCCGAAGTGTCGGGATTTTAGGAGGGTTCCTCTAAGCCCAATTAGAAAGTCTGAGAATTGAACCCAGGGCTTTGTGCACATAAACGCTACATCTCCAGTCTTGACGACACCTAACTGGAGTGGAAATTAAAAATATTTTTTCTATATTTACTCTGTGTGTGTATGTGTGCACGCGCGTGTGTGCGTGTGTGTGTGTGTGTGTGTGTGTGTGTGTGTGTAGGACTCAGTTATTTCCTTTTACCACATGGGTCCTGGACATCAAATTCAGGTTGTCAAGTCTTGGCAACAAGTACCTTAATCCAGATGAAATACTTTGCCACCAAGGTGGGACATGTTTTCAAATTGTTTATTTGTGTGTGTGTGTGTGTGTGTGTGTGTGTGAGAGAGAGAGAGAGAGAGAGAGAGAGAGAGAGAGACAGAGAGAGACAGAGAGAGAGAGAGAGAGACAGAGACAGAGACAGAGAGAGAGAGAGACAGAGACAGAGACAGACAGAGAGACAGAAAGAGACAGAGGGTGTTTATGGGTACCACGTGGGTACCTGAAGGCCAGAGGGTATAAATTCCCTTGGAGCTGGAGTTAGACAGTTTTGACCCATCATATGGATGCTGAGAATCAAACCTAGGTCTGCTGGAAGAGCAATAACTGCTTAACCACTGAGCCATTTCTCCATCCCTCCCCCAACCCCATCCTTACAAACATGCCTTACATAGACAGCTCTGCGCTTGTGACACTTTATTCTGTACAATATTTAAAGTCACATATAATATATTAATTTAAATTTAAGTGACTTTACAATTTCTCATCAACTATACTATTAAACCATATCTTTTCAGAGAGCCTGAAACTGATGCAGACTGTAAACCCTGTTAAAAATCATTCCTCTTGGTATTTAGTAAGCACTTAATGCTTCTCCAAATTCATGCCGATGTATACATGCTCTTGTTTCTGAAGACTCTTTCTCATTAAAGGAGGCAGCAGAATGTTAATATTATTTAAAAGTGTGCATTAATTGTCAGACAGCATAATAGCTGCCATGAAATTTTCAAAAGCATTAAAAGAAAACAAAAAATTACCCACAACTCAAATACATCAGTCTTTTCTGTGTGAATATACATTTAGGATAATAACAGAAAATTACTGCTGCATGGCTGCTTAGTTTTAACTATTTGTTTTTAGATGTTACCCTGCTGGGGATTAATCCTGCCCGAGCACTTTAGCTTCCTCCAAAAGCAGCAATTCTACACGGTAGTGTTCAGCATCTCCTAGAACTATAGAACTGCACACAGGGAAGATGGAGAACTTTATTCTGATGGTCCTTCTTTTGGTAACACACAGCTTACAGTTTGTGCAATGCCTTCTCAGTTCCACTTGTCTTGGGCATAACTCTCTTACATGAGCAAGGACACATTTGTTGCTTTTGCTTTTCCCCCAGAAGACACAACATTCCCAAAGCACAGTGGATAGGAAGTCTATGTGACTGTATTCCAGTGCTGCACTGTCCTTTCACCCTTTGGAGG